GGTGGTACTATCTGGCAGTATAAGGTGGTACTATCTGGCAGATATAAGGGTACTATCTGGCAGTATTAAGTATACTATCTGCAGTGGTAGTACTATTCTGCAGTATAAAGGTGGTACTCTCTGACAGTATAAGGTGGTACTATCTGGCAGTATAGTATCGGCCAGTATAAGGTGTGTATAATTACTGGGACATCAGATATAGACGAACCTTATATAGTCTGCAACGTACTGTACCGGAGATATTAGGTTATACTGACCGGGCTACGCATAGGATACAGTATAACAGTATAAGCACAATACAATATGAACATGAAACCGTTCGGGCGGCACAAGTCTCATATCACCGCGGCAAACTGTGCAAGAAGGGCTGCCACCAGGTTATATTAACTTTATTATAGACATTGGTCTTGTCCTCAACATGATTATTGATGTACATATGTTTTTTCTTTATTTATTTCTTTTTTCTATTTTTTTACCAATCACACACGCACACATACACACACACACACACACACACACACACACACACAGAAAACACACACACACACACACACACTCACACACAGACACACACACACACACATGTATTATATATATATATATATATATATATATATATATATATATATATATGTATGTATGTATGTATGTATGTATACATATATTCCCTGCTCCAATGCCATCCTGTCGCCCCCCCCATCCCACCCCCTCTTTGCCTCATGGCTCCCTAATTTTTCTTCTACGTATATATGTGACTCAGTGCGTGTTTACGTCGGCGTAGAAGGAGCCGTGAAAGTAGGGAGGTTATAACGTAACTGAAATCTTGACAACTTGAACCAAATCTACCCGAGCAGATCGAGGTTAACCTGCGAACAACTTCATTCGAAACCAAGTGGACTGAAGGTGGATCGAACTTCATTCAAGACCGTGGAAGTTTGATGTCAAGAGGGCGATTATATTGATGGAATTTTGTTTAGATATGAGAGAAATGCCTCGTTTAGCTGTAGGACTGCGGCTGATAAAAGAAAATGGCAGTTGTGAGGTGATTATTTGTGTGGAATGCGTGAAGGGGAAGACCGCGAGGCCGCCGGTAGCCTGGTTCGTAACTTTCTATTTTGCTTTTAGAGATTTTAGATGTGATGTGTGTGCTGTATGAATGCAAGGCCGTGTGTGGATTTACAATACTTGTCCTATAAACATTAGCTTTTACGAATCTCGTTGCTGCACAAGGAACTTTTCTGTCAGTATTCTAAATCATTTTGAAAAATGGTTGGCTCTTTTTGGTCACGTGCGTCTCTGCATTAACGCAATATTTCATAAACAAAAGAAAATCGTTTGGAATGGTGAGCGCAATTGCAGCGTATGCAAGGTGGGAATAAAAGTTTACGAAATAGGCCAGGAGATCCTCATAAGAACATGAAAAACAATTATTTTCTACTAACAGCAGTTGAAATGCTGATTCCACAAAATTTCTTTCTGATCACACGGGGAAATCGTCCCTCAATTAAATTAAATTCCAGAAAAAATATCTAGGTCACGATTCCAGTCTCTTTGTGTGTAAACTGCGGACTTTACAGTTACCTCGTCTGAGCTATATGAAAGTGTCAAAATACGCGGGAATTGGTATCTTTTAAATTCATTTTTTTGATTTTTTAGCTAGTGGTGTCTCCCCTCCCTTTCCCCCATTCTCTGTCTTAAAAAATAATGATAAATAAATGAATAAATAAGAAAGCAAACAAATAAATAAATGAATAAGAATAAATAAATGAATACACAAGTCAGTAAAAGCAAACATGTTTAAGTAATAACATTTTAGTAATAAAGTCCATTTGTACTGGCTGTAAAGGCCTCTTTAAACAAATATGTCTTATAATACTATTTAAATTAAATTCGCACTAAACCGTTATTAGAATGGTTCATTAAGAAGTTTAATGACTTTTTCTTAAGGGCAATGTAACATTTTATTTTACTGGTGGGGGAGGGGGAGGGGTCCTCTCGTGTTGAGACCCCCCCCCCCCATTAGTCGAACAGCTGATAATTCGAGCGGGAAAATTGAATTGTAAACATATGGAGGGAGCCTTTTACATAAGAATAATAGAGATATCAAAGTTTATTGTTTGTTTTTCTGTCATTGTGGGCTCCATTTGTTATAAACTAAAGTGCTGTCAAAGAAGATTTTTGTTTAACATGGATATCCTTGCGTTTTGTTATACGCTAAACAGTTAATACGACTTAAAAACGTTAAATACATAATATCGTTTCTTATAACTGTTGATGACTTCGAATATCTACTTAATATTTTACAAATCGAGGAAGAACTGCTCGGTATCAAAACATATCTTTATGAAAAAGTTACAAGCCCCGAACTTTAAAGAATTTCGTATCTTTTCTGGTACGGCCGCAACTCCTTAATCTATTACTAATTTATTTGTTTGATTTTACTTATCTAACTTTTCATTTATCCATTTATTTATTCTGAATTATCTCTTTACTCACTTGTTTATCCATTCATTTATTTTCATTTATCTAATTAGCTATTCATCTCATGTAACTTTTCACCGTTATATATATATATATATATATATATATATATATATATATATATATATATATAGATATAAATATAGATATGGATATAGATATATATATAGATAGATAGATATAGATTTTTTCTTTTTCTTTTTTGTCATCTTACAAACAATATTGCAATGTTTATATCGCACATAAAAAATTGTAACCAAAAAAAAAATACAGATAATTTTATCCGTCAAACTGTAGGTCAGCAGCACCATAACTGACAATCCATGTCATATTTATAAACAACATCCAAACTTTGCTTTACAAATCCATCAAACGTGTTTAAAACCGAGAACCGAAAGAGCTTTTCAATATCCTTACCTCCGGGTTCTGAAGATTCGAAACTATTGGTTCATAAAACCACGTAACTTGTTCAGTCGCAGCTCTAACTTCTTGCCATCTATGATAATGAATACATCAAGCTGCGTCAGTTAAATAAGCTGTATTTATTCATGCATCATGGATTGCACTGTCTCGGTTGACTGA